GCAGGTGGCAGAGCCTGTGCCCCGCGTGTGTAAGCTAGCTGTCCATGTCTCGTCGAGGTGGGCAGGCGGCGACGTACTGCGGGAGGAAGAACTCGAGCTCCTCGTAGGCGAACTGGCGCAGCTTCGAACAGAGCACATAGTGGATTCCGACGTGGTCTGCATACCGGCTGCGGTCACGGCCATGGTCAGCAACGGGCCCCAATGCGGACGGGGAGGTGGAGGTGAAGGGCGCTGCGTGCGGCGGTGCTGCGGGCAACGGTGGCTTCGGGGCACATGGGACGGGGACGGGGAGGGACGGGGACTCACGCAAGGTATGCTACTGCGAGGCTCGGATCTTGGTTGAAGTGCTCAGATTCTATAAAGCGCTCTAGCAGATTCCAACTCATCTGGGACGGCTCATTGGGGCTCAGGACGGGTGGAGGGCGACGGCATGCGGTGAAATGCTCAAAAGGGTCGCATACGGAAAGATGGGGCGCGACAGGGTTCAGCGGGCGGAGCTGCTCATCTCCGCCGCCTGCGTGATAGATAGCCTAGCAATGCGACATCCACTGTATTACTCCACTAACACTATTGCTTTCACTATGCTTCCTCCAGTCCAGCCATACATTCCGCCATCATAAAGAATAATCCTGCAACAATAAACAGATACCCGCAGCCAACGCCGTGCATTTGACTTTTTGAATAAGCCCAGCCCTCGCGCGCAGTGAACAACATATCGTACACCGGGGAATATATACAATACACGTGCAGTCTAGTCCGCAGCGTGCAGGTCGACAAAGATGTTGATGGCCGCCACCAAGACTTCAGCAAAAATGAGAATGATGACGATCCACTCGAGCAATTCACCCTGTATCGGTCAGCGGATGTACGGCAAAAAAGCACAAGTCGGATACTTACGTGAGTGACGGTCAGCTGATCTTTCAAGACAGCAAGCAAGTCTCCGATGACGTTGAGTCGCTCAGTCAAGAGACTAACTCTCTGGTCCATCTCCAGATAGCTTCTCACAGCTTGATACACCGGGTCTAGCTGCGGCTCAGCCCACATGAGCTCAGGCGCATCAAGGACCGATCCTTGCAGATGGATACTAATGCGGAGAATGAACAATTCTCCAATCTGCATGTTGATCTGCTTCTTGTTCAGGTTGATCTTGCCGGAGCTGGCGATTTCAGCTGGGATGTCTTTCGTCTCGTCGATAGTGTTGTCGACCAGGTCCTCGAACAGCGACGTCTTGACACTCTGGGAAAGACCGTGACTAATCGCTAGCTTGATCATGTAGTTCTTCTTGTCGCGCAGACTGATGAAGTCGTTGTATATCCGGGCCTGGTACTCGCGCGTGTAGTAGAAGTTGAACTCTTCCGTCTCAATCTCATCTTTGCCGAGCTTGTCCACTTCAAACTTGGCGATTTCCTTCAAGAACTTCTTCTCCTCCTGCAGTGTCATGCCCCAGATTACGACAGTGCCGTACTCAAACAAGAATACTTCAGGCGTATGGACGCGTGTGTCGAAGTCGGGCGCGTCCATTTGAGGGTCAGAGTCGGCGTGCGTGATCGACGGCCGTCTGGGACCGATGGCTTGTTCGTTCGCGATATCCGGCGCGTCACCATCGTCGTGCAAGTCGATGAGATCCTGCCTCCTTCTCTCGTTCTCGTGTTCCACTTCAATGGCGCTGTCTGAGAACCTTCTCGGTCTCTCTTCCGTGAAGCCGTCGAGTACGGCAGTGCTACTGACGTCTTCTGGGCCCTTTGTCGATCCGTAGTTGTAGGGCGAGTAAATGCATTCGTCGAAGCGCTTGGGCGCCGCTCCTCTGATCTTCTGCTTGCCCTTCAAGAATCGCATCATTTCATCGAGCTTGTACGAGGCTGCAGTACAGTATGCCGTCACCCTGGGCAACCGCTCTCTGTCTGCCTTGCCGAGGCGGGCAGCATCTCTTCGCGCAGTCGGGTCCTTTATCCTGGTGTATTGTACATAGACATCGCGTCCACTCTCTTCGTCTTCGGCTTCATCCGCGGCCGGGTCGGGAAGCAGCTTGAGCTTCTGCGCAGTTCTCGTCGTTCGCTGCGGTCCTATCTTGGGCACCGGCGCGGGAGGTATCCTGGCTGGGGCGCCAGAGCTGTTCCTTCTCCGCAGCTTACTATTCAGCGTCGACAGCATTGGCTGCCCGCCCTGAGTGGTGGCAGCATGGCCGGAAGACGAGGCACTGTGCGATAGCGATCGCGACGCTGGTGGTTTAGGACTGGTAGATGTGACGGTTGGGTTGAAGGTGACGGTGCGCTGTGGCTTCGGGGGTATCGCTCGGCTTGAGCTCGACATGGACGAGACCAAGGGCGTCGTTTCGGTGGAGCTGGACGCCATGGCGGCTGTTCGGCCAATTCAACGATGGTGCGAATCAACAGCGAAGGTGAAAGTGTCACTAGAAAGAGAGAATGTCACAGTCGCAGATGCCGCGGAGTTCAGTCGGCGCCATAGACGGGCGTTAGTGGATGCGGTGGGTGACAGGCGCGTAAGCTGTTTGTGTCGACGAGACTTCGAGCCATGACGTTGTAAGGATCTATGCTTGGACTAACGGTCGCAGCACGGGCCTCCCACGTGCAAGAGAACGCTACCTGCATGGCGGCCGTTAAAAACCAACATCCAGGAACCTGGCTGCTGTGCGACTGTCAAGGTTGTTTTTAACGCCTTCGCGCTTGTGCGAGTTTGTACAAAGTTGGCATCCATGGATGCGTTCGCTTCTCAAGGATCTGCATACGGGCACTAATGCATGAAATCGGTTATGACTTTACGCAATGTGCGTAGTCAGGCCTAGAAGAATGTATTAAGGAAACTATAGACTACAACTCGATGATCTCAGTTTCGAGTGAGGGCTTGACGATTTGAGCAGGCTGCTCCTGGTTGACAATGCCAACCTCTCCCAACATAAAACGCCCAAAGTACAACAACGCGTCCAGCATCTCCTCTCCGGTGGGTATAATATTCTCCTTGGGCAGCAGAAATCCGTAGCTGCCCGTGTCTCTCAATTTGATCTGGTACGAGTACCTGACTTTCAATTCGTGGTAGAAAAAGTCCAATGCACTGCCGCCGCTCGATTCAATGCGCGGGAAAATGGACTTGTTCTGGCCAGCAATGGCTACGTTGCCTTCGCAGGCTGATGTGACCTTGTATGTTTGGCCTTTGCGGGATACGCGAATAGCTTTGGCTAGACCCATAGCAAGCTCCTCAAGGTCCTCGATTGATGGAGGCTCCTCGTCGCATGAGTAGCTGTATGGGTACAAAATCTGTTGTGAGTACGAGTGCAGATCTAAGAAGCCAATAATGTCAACATTGTTTTCAGTCTCGTTCTTGGCCCATTCGGCAAAGCGTGCTGACTCTGCACCCTCGAATGGGGTGTTGCCGGGGAAAGATTCACTGCAGGGGTTCGACTGGGAAGCATCGCCGTCCCACTTGTACGAGTAGCTGCGGTCGAGGTCGATGCCGCGGCAGAAACGTAGACTGGTGGGTTGGCGGTTCTTGCGCCACAGACGATCGGTCTCCCAGCTGTAGACGTATCCGTCTGGGTTCAGGGTTGGGACGAAGACGAAATCGAATTCCTCCATAAGACGCGTCATCTCACGGTCTTTGCCGTATGCGTTGATGAAGCTCCAGGCCAGGTAGTTGACCGTACTTGTGGATATCCACTCACGGGCGTGGATACCGCCGGTGACAAGGATGGTTTTCCGGGGCTTGGACGGCTCTTCGTTGTTCGTGGGGTGCACGCCGACACGCAGAGCGGGAATGTCACGACCTTCGTAGCTAATGCCAATGTTGATGCGGCGGACGTGGGTGGTGAACATGGACGCCATGAGGCTCATCCAGGGGTTGATGACGGAGAGGGGCTGGTAGTCTTGGAAGAAGATGTTGCCCTTGCCCGAGCGCGGGGACGGCCGGAGATTTGACGAGAAGCGATCGTTGTCAGGAACGGGTGTCGTCTCGGTGGACGGGTAGGTGTTGAAGATTGCCTGTGCGAGGCCGAGGTCCTGGAGGAGTGGTTCGTGGGCGTCCTTGAGCGACGGAGGCAGCAGTCCGAGCAGGGAAGGCACGACGTCCTTGGACACGCGCACGTCTGCCCAGTCCTCATTGAACTCCCAGACATCGAGGAAGAGGACGTCTGCTGCATCCGCCAGCGCCGAGGCCTCCTCCGCCGTGCGTATCTTGAACCGCAATACGACATCTTCACTGTACTGCGCGACCAGCTTGTCACCCAGCGCATCGACAACAGTGCGCGCGTCTTCACCATCTAGTCTCTTTTGGTCCTCTGGCAGCTTCCATATCCGGCGGATTATCGCGTCGGAGAGCCTGCGCCATGGTCGCGGCGGCGCATTGTGGGTCGTAGCAAATGTTCCTGCATCGTACGGGGACGGCGCTGCATCGTGCGGGGCGGCGGCCGCGAGCGAGGGCGCGAGGAGCAGCAGGCTCAGCAGCGCGCAAACGGGCTGGCGCATTCTGGCGGTGGGGAGCCAAACAGGCGGAGGCCGAGTATGCGATGCGGTCGTGGCCAGCAAGCGCCGGGAAGGGGTGGAGAAGGTGTCGTGTGCCTGGCGATGCTTGGAAGAAACGTGGGCGTGGTGTGGCTGGTGCAGCTCCAGAGGCGCGCGGCCAGGCCAAGGTTTACGCCAGCGAGCGCTAGGAGGCCTCCACTGCACAGCAGAGAGGACCAGTGCGCTCGTCAGTGCCTTGGTGACAGCTGATCTGCTACCCTAAGGCCTGCGACCTGCTATCCTCCCCCTATACAGCCCGAGACTGTTATTCCCACTACGTGTCTGACGCCGTGCCGGGTCCACGCCATCGATATCTGATCTCACCTCCCCGACTAATCCTAGCAGCACTCCCTCAGCCTTACAGGCGTGCCGCATCCGAGCCATCCTAAGAGACCCCGACACGCCCTTCACTGCCCCTCTCCGCTGTGCCATGTACCGCACCGTGACCCCGTATCTGCCTTCATGAGCTGCTAGTCGGCGCGAGCAGCCATGCCTCTGCGCTCCCTCCGCCCCGGCCGCAGCGAACGAGACCTCAAGCGACGGAGCACCCTCGACCCTGCCGGCTTCTTCCACCGGCGCGCCGACAAGGACACGCGCTTCGACAGGTCGCAAGAGAACCTCGACACGAGCCGCATTGCCGCCTCTGAGGATGGCTTCCGCCCCACGTCCACCGACACGGCGCGGCCCTCGACCGGCCATGATGATGATGACGACTCCCCGCCTTCTCCGCCCGTACAGGAACACACGCCCAACACCAAGCGCTTCAGTCTGATGCGCTTCCGCCATGCCTCGGACCCCCAGCTCTCTGCCAAGGCAAAGGAACACGCCGCAAGGGACGACGATGCACCGCCCGTTCCTCGCATGCCGGGCACTCCTGCGCGTACGTATGCGTATTCAATGTCGGAAGTGTGTGTACTGACGTAGAGCCATATAGCGCCCGCCATCATCACCACTGCACCGACTGTGGCAGACCACGAGGACGAGGCCAAGATCGCGCCCAGGCGGAGTAGGATGCAGCAATTCGCCCTGCGCAGGCGCTCCTTTGACCCGACGACGTTTGAGAAACCGACCACGCTGCGAAAGTCGATGGACAAGAAGCGCAAGCCGCTAGGCTTCAAGAAGAGCACTGGGGACCTCTTGGACGAGAAGGAGCGCGCGTCGACGAGCAGCCATCGCCGGCCGGACGTGCTTGCCGATTCGCGCGAGTCGGTGGAAAGCGCGAGTTCGCTGGCGCCACCTGCCACCAGGGCCTCCGAGTCGTCGCGATCAGATGGAAGCTCCGGCGGACACATTTCTTTCGAAACTACCTCACGGCCCTCGCACCCGGCCCGCGTTGGCTCTTCACGATTTGGCTTTGGGCGTCGAAAACAGCGCGCATCCTTATTCCCACTCCCTATGAAGATCGAGCCTCCGCAATTCCCCGATACGGCGCCTGCTACACCACGTGCGTCTACGGGCGCGAGGAGTTCTGCCTCGACCGATCATTCAATCACCGAAAGCCCACCCCTGACCGCGCGTCGTCTCAACTATGGAGAACCTGGGACACAGACGCCACCAGTCCCTTCTGCATCGCAAGTTGCTCTTGCTGCTGGTGCTCTGAATTTGGCCTCACCCGGTTCAGGTACTCTCTTTCGCAACGACTCGTACCGGTCAAGCCGATCCGCCCGCTCCTCGCCAAACAACAATGGTCCTGCACGAATGGGTCTTAGGGGGCGCTCATCCACGATGGGATCTTTGGGCGGGCGATCCGACGGCGCAGGCTCGCCAACACCACCTGGCGGGCCCAGCGGAAGAACTTCGACCTCCACGGCAGGAAGAAGTAGCTTCAGCAATCTGTTTGGCTTGAGTTCAAGATTTCGTCAGAACTCCGAGCCCCATTCACCCCGGCATGGTTCACCTGCTCACGGGTTTCTAGGAAGCTCAGGCTTGTCATCGCATCAAAACTCGATGAACATCAGCCGGGAAACTCTCATTCTACCAGAGCGTGAAGAAGGCGAGACACCTGGACGGTACCTGGAACGAATCGAGGCGAATAACTTCGATAAGAGCGTCGTTGCCAGCTACCTAAGCAAGACCGACGACCCCTTCTTGCTTGCCGTACTTAGAAGCTACATGCGGAAGTTTGCCTTCTTTGGCGACCCAATCGACATGGCGATTCGCAAGTTGCTCATGCAGGTTGAACTACCCAAAGAGACACAACAAATTGACCGTGTCCTTCAGGGTTTCGCCGACCGGTATCACGAATGCAACCCCGGTATCTACATCAACACAGACAAAGCCTACTTCATATCTTTCTCCATTATCATTCTTCACACAGACGTCTTCAACAAGAACAACAAACGGAAAATGCAAAGGCCCGACTACATCAAGAATTCGTCCTGCGATGGTGTCTCGGCTGACGTCCTCGGCTGCTTTTACGACAACATTGTCTACACTCCATTCATTCACATTGAAGACGAGGTTGACCTAAAGAACATCACCTCGAAGAAAAGCAAGAGAGTCGCTGTCCTGAAAGGACCAATGAACGACCCGGCGCGGAAAGCCGCGAAGGAGCCCATCGATCCGTACACATTAATCTTTGAAGGCAAGCTGGACGCGCTCCGACCCACGATCCGAGACGTAATGCAACTGGACGATCCGTACAACTACACCGGCACGACTGCGACGCTAGACACCAAGAACATCTACAAATTGTTCTCCAAATACGGCGTGATACAGATTGTCTCCTCGCGATCGAGACCGGAAGCCTTCATGTCTGAAGCTGCCCAAGAGAATCCCTTCGGAACCTCGGTCGGCATCGTCGAAATGCCAGTGACAAAAGTGGGAGTTTTGTGGAGAAAGGACACGAAGAAAAAGAAGGCCCGATCGCCATGGCAGGAATGGGGCGCCGTTCTCACTCGATCGGGGTTGTCTCTATTCCGGAATTCTACTTGGACGAAGAACTTGATGAGCCAGCACGAGCAACATCTCAAACGCGGCGACACAGGCCCGGTCATATTCCAACCTGCCCTACCCGACTTCAAGCAAGACCACATCATCCCGATGGACGGTGCGGTTGCGCTTGTCGATGCCACATACAAGAAACATAAGAATGCGTTTGTCATGTTCTCCAAGGCAGGCGAGGAGACATTCTTGGCCGACAACGAGAAGGACCTGAACGAGTGGCTGGGTGTGCTGAATTATACTGCTGCGTTTGAAACACTGGGTGTTCGGTCAAGAGGCATGATTGGTGGGCTGTACGAAGGCCAGAAGAACCGTGGCATGCGGCGCCTGGAGTCATCCCACTCGACCAAGACGATACCAACAGCCACTGGCGAAGTTACCATAACAAGTGGTAAGATCGACAATCAGTTTGCACAACAGATGATGAACGCTAGGAAAGATCTCATGCAGGTGCGCATTACGGAGTCCGAGGACAAGCTCACCAATGCTATCAAAGAGCTGGAAGCACGCTTACGAGATGCAAGACATCTCCAAATTCTTGCGCCCATTCAACCGAAAACTCGCGAACTGGTCATACACGCTGCCGGTCGGTTATCAGCCAAGCTTAAGTGGACCCGTATCGACATTTGGCGGATGAAATGTCATCGTGACATACTTGCTCAAGAATTGGAGGACGAGAGAAAAGGCCTCGCAGATAAACAAGCGCAAGATGACCAGCCCTCGGAATTTATTCAACAGCCGCAAGTCTCGCCTCAACAGTTGTCGCACAGAGCGTCAAAAGTTAGCGGACTAGCGCGGTTGACTTCCAAGACCAGCTCAATGAACAGCGGCAACAAGCAAGCTCCATTGTCTCCTACCTCACCGGGCCGTCCAGGGACCAAGTCCTCTAGGGAGACTGAATTCGGTGGAGATGAAGCATTCAAGACACCACCGGAGACATCTCGGCAGTCGAGCCCCAGGGATCCATCGGCCCAATTTCAACCTGGGCCTATGTTTGGCCCTGGCTCATCTGATCGTCGAAGCTCATTTGCGAGCTCCTCGGCACATTCTCCGAGGATGTATCCCTCCGATCACAGGCCTTCAATATCAACGACTGGCGATGGCACAATAGGCTCCGATTCTGATTCTGACTCTGAGGACGGGTCTCGGTACGCGACTCCACCTCCAGGCGAGGCGGGTGATTTGGAGCCCATGTCACCAGAGCCGACACCTGGAGAGAGAGCCCGACCAGAGCCTGTCGTTGATTCTGACTACGAACAATCCCTTGCTGCTTTGACAGGATCGCCCAGGTCTCACACTAAGCAAAGAAGAAGTCTACAGCGCACTCTTCGAGAGTCCCGTGGCAGCTCTTCTCACCGCCGCAGCCACAAGAGCAGAGACTCGTCGTCGACAATCACACTCGCGAGTGACAATACCGAGAGCGAGGGACTGGCGCGCGGCAAGGGCAGCTTTACAGTCCATGGCAAGAAGGCATCTGTGATCCAATTCGGCTCCGACTGGCACAACACCACAGCCGAAGAGCGCTTGGCGGCGAAGAAACAGCTCCAGGAGGCTGCCGAAGCGATCTCTGCCGATGAGCGGGATGGCACGGCAGCTGCGCTTTCTCCAGGAAGCGAAGACAATGACCCGTTTCGCCCCCGGAAGTTGTCGGCAGGCACCACAAAGCAGCGACACGTATCGTCTCAGACGATAACGCCAGCAAACTTCCGCGAGTCCTTTAGAATAGAACAATCTGACTCTGACAGCGAGTCTGACATGAGCGACATTGCCGAAGAGACGCAACGAACGTCCGACGACCAACCAACGATGAAGGGCAAAGACCCTGTTACCGAACACGTGGAACGGCCTATACATAATCTCGAGGCCTCACCAGCCTAACACAAACTCCTCTCTTCTCTTATTTCCTTCGCATTCTGGATTTCAAAAGTGGATTTATGGTCATACCAGCATCGCTTGAGCGGCTTCTGTTTCTCCTTTGTCTATTCTACATACTCTTCTTCGGAACTTTGTACGCACAAAGCATGGCGCATGCGGGCATTGAATTGGAAACGCGACGGGGGCGCTTTATACATGCATAGACGGACTCTCGGATTGGCGTTTGCTCGAGATTAGGATTGATGGAAAGCAAAGTAGGGCTTGGTGTCAGGGCATACGGTTGATACCAGTGTTGCTTCTGTTTGTATGTGGATTACGATGTTCCCTTCGTGGATCAAAATATCGAACTACCGACTTATACGTGTGTTGTTATGGTGTTCAGTGCCGTTATGCCGGCTCCGTGATGATGGCGCTAGTACGAATCAGTTACCCAGCCTTCCAGAACCGTTTCCCGTTACCAATACCGACTCCTCCACCACACCTCAACTGGTATGCATGACCGCGGTCCATGACTGCGCTTCAATCGCGCACCCACATGTCTGCAAAAGCCAGCCCGCCCTGCGCCTCAATCCCCTCACCTCGGGCAAAGCGGCATTGAACACCTCCTTCTCACGCTCCTGAACCCCATCCTGCATACGCTCCTGAAGCTATCCTGCATGCCCTCCAACAGCCAAACCGCGTTTCGCATGTCCGCCAAAAATCAGGCCCCACTCCACGATGCACAATAGCGACCCACCTGCTATTGGTAGAAACAGTGAGGTTCTCGGAGCTCGGCAGCCGCCTTGGGCCTAAGCGAAGACGGTATCGATCATCTCAAACCAGAAACGTCGCGGTGGCCCCTACCAGGTGGACGTGACAGCCCTGTCAGAAATGTCGCGAAGTGTTTTGGTCGTGAACTGGTGATACAGGGAGGTGTGCCTTATTGCCGTTTACGCGCCTGAGGGGGGTATGATCTCACGATGGTAGGTTGTGGTTTTTATATAAGAGAAGGGTGTGGCCGCCGTTGTGGGTTTTCGAGTATCGATCTTTCGTCGGTTTCGTCGTTCGCCCTAGTCAGTCTTTACACTTACGTTCTCTTTTTCGTTCTTTTGCTTGCCCTCCGGTTAGGGTATTTTACCTTACTTTTATTGAACGCTCGTTGATTATCATTATACCCATTCAACGCTGTTATATATTTCTTGTCGTATACATACAAGACGGATTCTTCGAAGACGAACACGAAGATGTACACCCACGCCTTCACCGCCCTCACGCTTCTCAGCGGCCTTGTCATTGCTGCTCCTACCGCCAACATCATACCCCGTCAAGGCAATGCCTGCTTCATTGTTGGCAACGAAGTCCTCCCGGGCGAGACGGCCACTGTTGTCCAACAAATCCAAGACAAGGTCACCTGCGACGCCAACGCAAAGACAATCGAAAACGTCCCCGACGTGACCTCAGGCGGCCAAACCTTCTCCAAGATCAACTTCGCTGCCTCTGGTCAAAAACCAATGGAATTCGCCACCAGCACCTTCTTCACCGCTGTACCACTTGCCGACTCCAACCTCGAGGCTTTCCAAGACGCGCTCAATGTTTACCTAGCTACTGAGGCCGGTCTACGCAGCTCGGGAGGCAACTTTGGAATCATCAAGGCGCCTAAGTTCTTCCTCGAGATGCAGATTTCGAGAATTCAGACTGCGAGGGGACAGCCGCCTACCGACCCAGCTCAGCAGGTCGACCACTTGAGGGACAAGGTTATCGAGAACAACATCAGGGAAGACCAAGCGATTATGGATCAGGTTACTCAGTTGGCTACTCAGCTCTCGTAGGGGATGGAGTCGCTGTTAGTGGAGCGGATGAAGGAAGGATACTCGATATGAATACTTCCAGCCAACATGTAGCAAAACCGTCAATTAATCATATGATACCCGTCACGTTTTATTCACAACTTGCTCTCGCTACTACCACCCACCTTCCCTCTCCAGCCTGTCAAGGTAGCACCGCCATCCATCTCAACAGCATTACCCGTGATATGCGCACTCGCCTTACTACTCAAGAACAAGACCAGCCCACCAAAGTCACTCGGCTTGCCAATACGGCCAGTTGGCTGTCCCGCCGTCAACGCATCTGCGAATTTCTCCAGCCCAAAGTTCGTCATGCGCGAGGGAAAGACGCCAGGGCAAATGACGTTGACCATGATGTTCTTCGGGGCGAGTTTCGAGGCTTGCATCTTGGTGAGGTGGATGCACGCTGCCTTTGCTGGGCCATCTAGATGTGTCGTTAGTAAGAGTGATTCGCGAAAGGTAAGAACGACAGCGAACGTACAGCTATAAGTCCCAGTCCCCGGAGTACTCAACCCCCCACCCTCGCCCGTCGTAACATCCACAGTCGTAATACCCGCCATACTAGCAATATTAATAACCCTGCTCGGATTATGCGCATCCGCCCCCTTTGCCAACAACCCCTCACACTCAACCGTCATATAAAATATACTCTTCACATTCAACGCATACAGCTTATCCCACGCATGTTCCGGATAATTGTAGTAATCATCGCCCCAGCTCGCGCCCGTGTTGTTCACCAGCACTGTCAGGCGGTCTGTTTGCTTCTTCAGCTCCGTGCACAGAGCGAGGCAGCCGGCTTTGTCCTTTAGGTCCGCGACGATGTAGGAGCATTTTCCGGGGCCGAGGGCGTTGAGGCGGGTGGTTGTGGAGGCGAGTTCGGATTCTTTGCGGGATGCGATGAAGACGCGCGCGCCGTTTTGGATGAAGGCTTGTGCGGCCATTTCGCCCAGGCCGGTGGCGCCGCCTGTTACGAGGACGACGTGCGAGGTGTAGTCGAAGAGCGTGCTGACGCGCAGGTCGTCTTTGGAGGCGGCGTGCGTCATGGTGGGTGGTGGTGTGGATGGAGGGTTGTGGGGTGGCTGAGGTGGAAATGGGTGTAGAGGTGAGGTCGATTGACTGTGGGTGGGCTTCAAGGAGGTATGTGTATATGCACAAGGATGCGCAGACGCGTCAAGGTCGATTCAGCCATGCCGGCAGAGCTGTGGTGGAGAGGAGGCATGAACCTCGGCATCTTGAAGCTGTTTGCGGGGTGCTAGCGTCACTTGCGAACTCCACTATGACCATTCGGAATAACGGTACGTTTTCTTCGATCTGCACTCAGCCCGCAATAATCTGATTCTGGAACGTCTTTACATACGGATCTCCCATCGTACCACTCCGGAGGCGTCCTCTTCGCTGCTTGTTCCACGCTCGGCTTTCAGTTTGTCCAGCATCTCTACTGGGTTCTTTACGAGGTATACTCTACCGAGTGGCATTCGGCTGGAGACGCGCCAAGGATTTTCCCAGTGACCAACACCAAAGACTGGCTTTGGGGGTCGGTCCTCTAGGTTCTCCGCACAGTTGGGGTCATACTTGATGGCTTCCTTGAGGTATCCAATGGCGGCGTCTATATCCCCAAGTGCTTTGCAAACGACATGTGCCCTGAAGCTCAACAGAGATTTGAGCTTGCCAACTTCAAGCTGCCATTTTTTTGAAGCTAGCGACGCTTCTTGCGCACACATGGGCTGATCAGATAAGAAACTGATCGCGTCTTCAGCCTCCTTGCGCGCTTTCTGGAGCAATGCCACACTGTCGGATGAACCAGCTGGGTCTTCCTCTTTCGACTCCAATATACCTGCGCGATGGCAGAGGGCTTGTATTTCCCCTGCAGCGATTTCGCAAGTCCGGAGCCATAATTCGAGAACCCCGTCCCTCGATGTATCGGTGCGTATGTAGTCGAAAAGATTTACATAGGACATACGAGCATGCTTCATATTATCCAGATGGTCAAGATAGTAAATAGCAGGCCGCTCTCTCATCAAGTGCTCTCTTAACTTCATGGTCCAAGGAGAAGTGATCATGTCATTGGTGCTCACAATGTGAAATCTAAGGCGGGCCTTCGAAATGGGAAGCAGCAGAGGTTCAATGAGGATCTCTTGGGCTCGTTCAAGCGTGTGTGAGAACGTCTCAAAAAGCGACACATATAGAGAAGTACGTCCGAACCTGACACAGGTTAAGATCCGCCTTCATAGTATAATAAGAACTGCAATTACTCACCGATTTTGATGACCTTTGCCAATACGGATCAAGATCGGCAGGCTCGAGGCTGGCAGCAACAAACACGATGTATTCTCCATAGGACCGGGGTAGAGGTTGCGGGTCGTGTGAAATTCGAGTTCCATTGCCACAGGAAAACCTGAAAAGTCCTTCTTGACAATCTCATCGCAGGATTGCAGTTGTGAGATAAGTGGTACGCGCGGGCAATCCACCCGGCGGCCGCGGGAGTTGTAGGTTGGACACCCGGGTAGCACGGGTATTGTTTTGTCGAAGATGCTCCGAAGAAACTTTGGATGATTACTTTTGACAACCACGCACAGTTGGAGTCTCAAAAACTGGAAGATCTCTGCGTTGATTTGCCGGCTCAATGTAAGCAGCTTACATAATGGCGATGAGGGTGCAGACGCCTGGGTAGGTACATCTAAGCGGCGGGTTCTTCGAGCCACACTTCCCATCTCGGCATCTGAATGATACGGATCGTTGTATCCAGCTGGAGTGTAGGTCAAGAGCTCGTGATAAATATGCTCACGGATTGTGATCGGTAAAGTCTGGAAAGTATGCATTAAGAGAGGCTGATGGCGGTAGTACTGTCGTGAAGAGATAGTGGTGTCTCTCATAATTCGAGAAGAAAAGGCGATGTAGCCTGCAAGTATACCTATAAGGCTCTAGCGTGGTCCCAACCGTATGATTAGGCAACCAAGATCCTTAGACTTGCACGCCTGACAGATGACTCACGTTATACCTAAATTGGGCTGTAGTGATATGTACCTCCTATCGAATGCTGCAGCTTCATGCAAGGCGAAATGACGTGTTGTGCTGCGCCTAGGTAATTACCTAGGTACAAAAGCGCCACTCGCGTCCACCATGGTTATAGCCAAAACACTTGCTGCTCACCCCAGGTAGGTAAGCGCAATGATCCAACTACCTGTCGAACTCCAACGGGGTTGCATCGATTTCCTTTCCGACGATTTGGCGACGCTTAAGGCCCTTCGCCTGGTAAACAAAGGATTCCACGAATTGGCCTCCGAGAGTCTCTTCCGCACAGTATCCTTCACGAACGTCGGAAACAGCCCTGAAAGATTCTTGAATATCATTCATTCCTCTTTACAAAAGCATGTACGTCATGCCATCATCAATACTTCCGAGCACCCCGACAGGGAGCAGAATGAGGAGGATGAGGATGAGGAGCAGGATGACGACGATGACGACAACGGGAGATATCTAGCGGATGGACCAGACATCCTCTGTACCTTCGCTGACGCCATCACACAACTTCCACAGTTGGAGAGTTTGAAGCGGACAGAGCTAAAGTTCTCGAGCATTTGCACCGTGGAGGACTACACTCACACCAGATACAGAGATACTATGCTGCAGATTAGAGAGGATGAAAATTTCCGGGCGAAGATCCAGGACCTTTGCTTCCAGGCTTTGGCGCAAAGCGAGAGCTTCGAGAGTCTTACGATCCAGAACTTGCAGGATGCAATGCCTCAGGATGTTATGGAATCAAAAAGCTTCCTGGCCGTGAGAGAGCGCTTGACAGAATTGCGACTGAGAATTCTGAGGTACCACGTGGAACCGGAAGGTGGACAGAGCACCTATGCTGATGCGCAGCACAATGGTCTAAGGCGATTTCTCCCGAAGTACTGGTTGAAGCCCACCACCAACCAACTCACACGGTAAGTCTCTCTGTACAAGTCTCGAGCTATCTGTGAGTCATGTTCTGATTTTGCAAATAAATCTCTAGTCTTACGCTCGATTGCGACTGCCTCTGGGGCGTCTGGCCTTTCACGGACTTCCGAGAGGTCGAACCGTTTCCACACCTCAAGTCGTTGTGTTTTGGCAATTGGACCATCGCGCATGACTGGCAGGTCGACTGGATCGTCGCGCATGGAGCTACACTGGAAACTCTACTTCTTTGCGGTTGCGGTGTTGTTCGTTATCTGGCTTTGCTCGACAGGGGAATGAAAGCGAACTTCCCTCAGCTGCTTCCACAAACGGGTGACGACGAGACTGATGATGAGGATGACGAAGGGAGTGATGATGAGGGTGACGATGAGTTTGACAGCTTCGGTCTTTCTTATGGACCTGAATGGGAGATGGAGCCGGATATTCGTTGGCATCATCTATTCGAACGCTTCCGAGTTGGCCTCCAACGTCTTCGGTACTTCAAGTCGGGCTATTCGCAGGATTATCCCTTCGATAGCAGCTACAACATGCGGCCCGATCACCCCATGAATGCTTACTACTCCCTTGACTGTCGCAAACCACCGGGATTCGAGCCAATCGGGTGGGACGTCTACGAGCCTGAACTTGAAGAAGAAGCTCAGCGTAGGCAAGAGACAGACCTCCAGGAGGAGGATCGGCGTGCTCTGACTGCACTGATGGAGACAGTGGAACAACGGGTTGTTGAAGCTATTTGAAGTCGACCAAAAATGCAACATCATGTCGACTTATAGATGCTTTTCTCGTGCAAGATTTTCCCCACCAGGGGTGGATAGAAGTCATGAAGCACTTTGCCGCTTACATACATCTCAATCTTGATAAGTTAGTAGTCTCCAAGATAAGGTATACTTCTCGGAGAGCCAAATGATATCCTAGGAGAATGTGACACAAGTTGTAGCCACCCCTAGTTGACACATCTTTTCAAGAACGGTCCCAGACGGTAGCCGAGTACTATCTCGGTGTGTTCATTGCTGAAGGCTCCCGAACTCCGCAATCGCGCAGTCTTTTCCCTGAAAAGAAACTGAGAGCGTCTTGCTAGGTTTGCCAGATTCGCGTAAACTGACATCGAAGACACCGGGTACAACCATAGGCCTTCTGAACTGCACCTCCATCCATGAGGAAGTGGTGAACGGTGGCTGCAAGCTTTTCGAGTCCGTCAGTAGATGTAGAGCTTTAGCGACTGTGTGATTTCCATGCGCAATCTTTCCAGGTAGACCAAAGGCCTTCGCCGCCGCTCCCGATAGATGAATGAAGTTGTAGTCCTTGCAAATCGCAGCCCATTTCAGCGGGTCGTCGACTGACATCGATACCTGTGTGGTGCTCTCAGGCATCTGTGGTATCGCCATGCTAGACCTGGTCTCATGTGAACTGTTTAGGATTTTCTTGGACTGTGACTTTCTTAGTTCTAGCATGGTGAAGATCTGGCGAAAGATGATATCCATAGTTCCATCCTTCCTACCAGTGGGAGTGGTGGCCACGACCTCCAGATCCCACTCGATGCCTCGTTTTGCTGGTCTTGGGTGGTTACTTGCAATCGCCTTCAGACGGGCTGTTCGTAGATCCACAAGTCTCGACAGGTCGCATAGGTCGGGGCGTAATAATTCGAACCTATTGCGCACGTTGACTGCGCCTAGTGGATTGATGGGACACCAGGGACTGGCGAGTAGAAGTAGCATTGCGGGCTCGGTCATGGCTGAAAGAAACAGCATAAGGTGCGGTGCTGAGAGCTCTTCTCCTGTGTTGCTTGTTCCTCCAACTGCTGATTGATACCGAACAACATCGTCTGCATCTAGAGTGAATGGGGAGTCAAGCTCTAATGCTGAAAGCTTGATGCGCGGAGACCCGGGAATTGTGTAAAAGGTTGATTTTGCTATCATTGACAGGATCGCTAGCACGACCTCCCCCATGCGAAGTGAGGCTGGGGAAAATGCCAGAGTGACTCTTCTTGGGCTAAACAGCAATGGCGTCAGGCGGTACCCGAACGAGACGAGCACGCCGAAAAACATGCCCGATATGAGAAATAGTGGCATACTGGAAGGCTTGCGATGAATCCGATGCTCCTAGGTACATGTGCAGGTCGTGGATGCCAGATGCAGAGGACCTCGGGAGTGCCTCCGTAGCTAGCGGCGCTGATGACGTCATCACCGATGTGGAAGGCACAAGCGCAGCACCCAGCCACCTTCATGCCCACTGCAAGTGCCACCCCTCGCATCATGCCAAAGAAGGCAAAATTTGTCAAAAGTTCTCCACGACGATCGGCCTCGTCCGTTTGCTCAACCTCTTCGACCCAGCCCTCTCCATCCAAAGCTCATCCGTCCTCGCGAGACCCACGATGGCGCACCTTCTCCAACACTTTCGATGCCCACAGTTCGGGCACTTGTTTCCGGCGCGTGCGAACGACCATATTCTCTCACCTAGAGAAATTAGCAAGTCTTGATGCGAATCACCGAGGCCACATACAACGATGACAGCACCAGCTGTAAGTCGCGTCTGGGTTTGCATTGCTTGCAATATTTCCCATCATCTGCATGCGGTCTCTCCAAAATCTGGAATGATTTCGATCCCTAGTCTTGATGAGCTGGGAAGGGCGAAAGCCGCAACTAAGAGGCGTGTACAATCCGTTCAAAGGCTGCGCTTGTGCAATGAAGTGTTGCCAGATTTGAAGACACTAGAGTTTGGTGCGTATGCTGAATCCCAATACTGCACCGCCGAGCATGATTTAGAGCACTGGAACAGCGCCAGAGCTTGCGCTGTCAGCTTGCGTTGCTTCGAAATTCACAGATCATGGCCAGCACGATCCGTAAACGCTGGATGTCCTACGATTCATTGTATCTCGTGCACCTGACAGCTAAGCTGTCGAGATGCGCTGTTCTTGGGCCTTGCTTTCTCGAGTTCTCTGTCACTCGTAATAGACTTAGGTAGGGCCGGACTGGGAAAGCGAGGTTATGGTGTATGGTATGACACCATGTCCTGAGGGCCAGGAAACTGACAGAGAAGACAGGCCTGAACGAAGAGCCTTAGTTGTTGAAACTTTGAGCTTGCGAATTGCTAATAGTTCTAGGCCGTGCAAAGGCGCTTCTTCCCAGCGCTACGGTGATCGCCTGTACATGTTGGCTCCGACTAACAAGAAGAAGAGGTCGAGGCTAGCCAATTATATTAATGGTGCCAGCACGCGAGGTGATGCACATATACGGCTGGGAGGGCATGATAAAAGAACTGACCAATAAGCGCATGGGTTGAGACCAGGGAACTACTACGCCGCAATCTTGCAGAGGTCGGGACCCGATGGCTACGTCCAGCGCGTAGCCCATTGCGCTTCTCCAGATTTCAAGAATACCTAAAGGTTCTGCTGCGGCTCTCGACATGGTCAATCAAATATATTCGAAGAATAGTCACGGAGTGACGCACTTAATGTATTGAAAGCGCTTTGTTCTTTGATACGTTCGTGATGGGGACGTGCTGATACTGCCCCCAAAATAAGTTACGGCATAGGAGGGCATTGTCTTACACGCATTAATCCGAAACAGCTCAGTTGCTATAATAGGACAGCATGTCATAGAGGGCAGCGCGTACGTCGATTGTGTTTGCTTAACTCCTCTTTGCTTCCATCTCAGCTATTCACGACCAGACTTCTGGAGAGTCCACTATGTTTCCCAGGAAATGGAGATGGAGTCTGATCCTTTTCGTTGGCGTCTTGTTGTTTGCAACGATAGTCTCTTTTTCGGCTCCTTTCACCCCATCGAGGGCTTCCATCTTCCCATCAAGCCACCATGAACATGCTCCGAGCTCGCATGCGTGTCCAACAAGACCGCCCATGCCAGCAATAACTCCAGATACTGGAGATCGCTTCAACTGGAGAGCAATCTCGATCCGACACCCAGTTGATGAGTATGCGCAGCTATCCTCACAAAAGCCTTTGTCCAGGAGCACTTTGCAAAGATCTCCGCATCCAAAGTCGCCAGGTGCCGAAGCGATTGCTGGTAGACGAGCGGCTGTCAAGGAGACCTTTCAAAGATGCTGGAAGTCTTACAAAGAACGCGCATGGATGAAGGATGAACTTGCACCCGTGTCGGGTCAGCCCCGAGATACCCAATTTGGTGGCTGGGGAGCTACGTTGGTCGACTCATTAGACACTTTGTCGATCATGGGAATGGAAGACGAATTCGCCGAAGCTGTCGAAGCAGCTCTGAAAATCGACTTCAGACCAAGCGATGATCGGGAGAGTGAGATCAACATGTTCGAGATCATTATACGCTATCTGGGAGGCTTCATAGGCGCTTACGACGTTTCTGGCTGCCACGACACCCGTCTTCTGAACAAGGCTCTCGAAGTAGCAGACATGGCTTATGCGACCTTCGACACGCCTAACCGGATGCCTGTGTCGAGATGGAAACCCGGGAAGGCGGCGGACGGCGAAGAGCAGCTGCCAGCTCTCTCGGTACTCATAGCTGAAGCCGCTTCCGCTAGTGTGGAGTTCACTCGTCTCTCCCAAATTACAGGCGATATGCGATATTTCGACGCCATCTCCAGGGTTACGGATGTACTTGATGCACAGCAAGGATCCACGAAGCTCCCTGGGATGTGGCCGATCAGTGTAGACATGAGAACGCCGAACCTGACTTTCGACGCTTTCTTTGGGCTGGGTGCTATGGCCGACTCGGCATTTGAGTATCTACCGAAGATGTATCAGTTGCTCAACGGGAATGAGCCGGCTGGTCAGTATCGCAAGATGTACGAATACGCGATGGATACGGCGATAACGCACACCATGTTTCGACCCATGGTGGAAGACAAAGCAGACATCTTGATCGCAACCGCGAAACATGATGGCCCTGATGGACAAAGAGACAACACTGGGCAGCACCTGGTGTGCTACGCTGGTGGTATGCTGGCGCTTGGTGGGCGGCTCTTCGACAACCAGACCCATCTCGACGTCGGACGGAAGATCTCTGACGGTTGCGCGTGGACGTATAAAAATGCACCGAACGGCATTATGCCTGAAGTGTTTTCGATGACCCCGTGTCCGTCGTGGTCAGAGTGCGATTACACACCAGGCGCAAAGCCATTCAGCGCAGTCCACGATGGCCGTTATATTCTCCGGCCAGAAGCAATCGAGTCGATCTTCTACATGTTCCGGCTCACGGGTGAGACCAAGTATCAAGAGATCGCGTGGGAGATGTTCCAGGCCATCGAGGCGAATACAAAGACTGAATTTGGCAACGCCGCGCTCCAAGACATTATGTCGACCCCGCCACCAAAGAGTGACAGCATGGAGGTAAGTCCTAGAAATGCGATGCTTCCGAAACAAACGCTGACTTTATCTCTTCACCTCCGCAGAGCTTTTGGTTGGCCGAGACCCTCAAATATTTCTATCTCATCTTTAGCGACCACGATGTAGTCAGCTTGGACGATTTTGTCTTTAATACTGAAGCGCATCCGTTTCGGATACCCTACCGTTAGTGTCTTGATCGTATCGGCGCAGGATGAGTGGGGTGGCTTCCTGTGGCGTTGGTTTAGGACCGCGAACGCGTATCGTAGGAGAGAGTCGATATATGAAATTTGGCTTGGATTCATATCCCATATGAACAGTTGCGTTGGGTAGCTCTAGGTCGACACTGCTGGTGGCTGCTGAGTCTGACGCGTTGCGCGTTGGGCGGCGTTGACCGGGTGGATCCGAAAGAGGGAAGACGGCGCCGGCACCGGCCAAGCTTTCCCCGAAAGCTTGAGCACGGATGGCGTTGCTTCGAGTCTCGACTTTCGACGCGCACGACACGCGTGAATACATTCTGTGTCCTGGATATTGCGAGCCTGAAAGTTCCGGGCACTTGTTCCTCATCACATGCCGATGACTTTTTCCGTCGTGCTCAACGCATACCTAGCGCATACCAAAGGTTCACTGTAGCGCGGCGATGCCCCCTCGTCGGTATTTGACGAAGACGTTAAACCTCGGTGTGCTGCTGCCGAAGTCTGTATCCGTTCGCTAAATGATAGGATGACGAAACTTAGCGACGACGACACCGTGACGACGACGGTTCGCAACCCCTGCCTGAAACTAAATGGGCTGGGGTCCAGCCAATAATCCTACCATCTGGGGTCTCCACTGGGGGTCTCCGCGAAAGTCTTCTTCCGCAGGTATTAGTATGGGGAAGGACGGGTACACAGTATGGGGTTGCCACCCCGAGGCGTGCGCACTCGAGATTGCTGGTCTTTCTCTTTCTTGCTACTCATTCCGCAACTCACGCCTAGGGCTGTACCACTAAGACCACGTCACAGTCATGGAGAACGACAAAGAGGCCATCTCAGATAAGCCGATGACTAGTGAGGATCTAGAGCATGCAAACACTCATGGCACGTATCTCGACAATGACGAAGTATCTCACCTTTCCGAGGAGCATCGACAGTATCTGTTGGAAAGACATGGCACGCTTGAGCTTGACCCCATACCCACCATGGGCACGGCCGATCCATACAACTGGCCTCAGTGGAAGGTAGGTCATCACGCATTTATCAGTTTGAGGTCTACTGACAATGGGAATAGAAAGTGATGAACCTCCTCTTTGTCGCCTTCCACGCCATGATGTGCGCGTTTCCCGCTGCTGCAATCATTCCAGCCTATGAGAACATATCCGAAGACCTGGGTGTCAGCCTCCAAAGAGCATCGTATCTTACGTCTCTACAAATCGCTATCCTCGGGGGTGCTCCACTGTTCTGGCGGCCGCTCTCCACACGATACGGACGTCGACCCATCTTCATCATATCTTTGATTGGCAGTCTAGTCTTCAACGTCGGCTGCGCGAAGAGTCAAACATACGCTGCCATGGCTGCTTGCCGAGCTCTCCAAAGCTTCTTCATCTCACCCCCGAACGCAATTGGCAGTGCCGTTGTGGTCGAAACTTTCTTCAAAAGGGAGAGAGCGAAGTTTATGGGTATCTGGACGGTGATGATCACCCTGGGTATACCTCTGGCGCCCCTAATTTTCGGCTTTGTGACCTACAACGTCGGCTATCGCTGGATATATTGGATCCTCGCAATCGTCAACGGCGTTCAACTCATCCTGTACACGCTCTTTGGACCCGAAACGCGCTTCATCCGACATAACAACGCGCAACACGCGCAGTTCGGGTTTGCGGCCTACAAGGAGATGTATCTAAAGTTTCGCCGCATCGATCCTACACCCATTACTGCCTCGGAGTTCATATCACCACTTCGACTATTCAAGTACCCATGCGTGGTCATCCCTGCATGCGCGTATGCAATGGTCTTTCTCTTCGCTTCGGTCCTCGCGACTGTTGAGATTCCGCAACTCTTCGGCGAGAAGTTCCACTTCAACGCACAGCAGATCGGCTTACAGTTCGTGGGTGTTATCATTGGTACGATCATCGGCGAGCAAATTGGTGGACACTCGAGTGATCTCTGGATGCGATGGCGCGCAAAGAAAATGACTCCTCTCCGCCCTGCTCCAGAGTTCCGTCTCTGGCTGAGCTACTTCGGCATCCTTCTCACCATCTGTGGCGAGGTTGTCTTTCTCGTTCGCATCGAGCAAGCCCCCGATCTGCATTGGAACGTAACGCCTATTGTCGGTGCAGGCATAGGTGCAGCAGGCAACCAGATCGTCACTACTGTTCTGATCACATATGCGGTCGATTGCTACCCTGAAGAAGCTGGTAGTATTGGCGTGTTTGTTACCTTTGTAAGGCAGATCTGGGGCTTCCTCGGTCCTTTCTGGTTTCCTCCCATGTTTGAGAATGTAGGTATCGCAAACAGTGCTGGCATCGTTGCGGCATTGCTGGTAGGCGTTAGCTTGATCCCTGTTATGTTCACTCATTGGAAGGGCCATACGATGAGAGGCCACATGTCGGAGAGGATGTAAGACCAGTTGGACATGTCTCCTTGTCATTGTGTCCGATGCAGAGCTACGCGTCTCTGGGTAGCGTCTAAACACGTCGATGACAACCTGAACATCATGAAACGCACGTGCATTTCCAGCTTATCACTTATTGTTGGATATTTGGATTGAATGCGATAGTAAAGGCACTATAGTACATGCACAATCTTCAACCTACAACTTCGCTTCCAACCCCTCCTTCTGACACAGCTCTTCCGCTTCAGCCACAACATCAACACCATAGACTTGCGCCTGGATATCTGCATCCGCCCATTTGTCCGGCACCTTCCCGGATCCAGACTTCAGCGCCGCAAAGATCTTATCGCGCTCCTCCTTCGCCTTGCCAGCTCCAAGATGCATGTCTCTTCCGTTCTGCGCCGCGAGCTCAACGAGTGCTTCCGCTCTCGGCTTCCTCAGCTTCTCATACAAGCGAAGTGCGTGCTCGATGGTCTGCGGCTTCCCGTCTGCGATGCGCTTAGGGGAAAGCACGACGCCCAGCACAGCTCCGTCTTCAATCGCCTGCGCTGCACCTTGGGCCATGTGTGGGAGCGTTGGATGACAAGCGTCGCCGACCAAGGCAGCTGTACCATGCACCCAGGTTACCAACGGATCATGAACCCGTAGCTTCCATTCCACAACTTCGCCCTCTGGCACCAGGTTCAACATGCGATGTATCATCGGACAGAAATCGCCGTAAACGTCCAACATGGCCTTCTTGCTGCCTTTGGTCGTATATTGCGCGTCTGGTGCTCCGGCGAAGTTGATATCGGGCTGCGCGGTGGAGATGTTGTAGATTTGCTTGTTGTGGATTGGATAGGCAATGATGTGTTTCTTCTCGCCAATCCAGCGTGTGACTGTGTCGGACTCAATCAATTTCAGTAGCTCGGGGTCGTTCTCCATCTGGTCTCGGGTCAACATGATACGGTATGCAGCTTGTCCTGAGTCGCAAGCTGCGCCGGTGTGGCCGAGCTCCTTGAGCATGGCGACGCGAGTAGAGCTCTTAACGCCGTCCGCACCGAGCAGGATGTCGCATTCGACTTGTTGGGGCTCTCCGTTGCCCTGAGCTGGTGTAATGGTGAACTTTGGCTTCGCACCAAACTGTACGTTGGATATGTTGCAGCCCAGCTTGAATGTGATCCCGCTTTCCTTCTTGCAACCCTCATAGAGGCCATTTGCCAAACTCGCTCGGTGGCCGACCATGTGTGGGTATCCATACTTTTCTCGCACGTAGCCCAGATCTACGTACCCTAGCTCCTTGTCTGTCGAGCCTTCCCGAATTGATGTATTTGCGCATTGAACTGCCTCGTCGCGGATTGGTCCCCAGCAACATAATCGGTCGAGGATGCGAGCCATATTTGGTGCGAGTTGGATGCCGGCGCCTACGAAGCCCATATTCGTTGCGTTTTCATATATCGTGATGTTCTTGTGACCAGCTTTTGCGAGAGATAGTGCTGCCGCTAGGCCGCCCATGCCTGGAGTTTGTTAGCTATCACGGTATGGTGGGTGATCTGGGTGGGAATGTCTACCTGCTCCAACAATCGCTATCCTAGTATTCTCTGCCATGATGGAAATACTGCGCCTCTGTCTCACCACTCGATGTACAATATCTGCTGGTATGGTAGAGGATGGAGCGCTGCTGAAGCAATGTGGTTGCTGGTTGTTGCTGAGTTGGTCTCGCCGAAGACAAGCAGGGAACGTCCCGACAGCTCTTAAGATTCCTCTTAAACGTTTCTATATCTCAGTCTCTTGCTTTTGCTCCAATCCCTCCACAAGTTCCGAGCTCCTTCCCGCGCGTAATGTTCAGCCACCGGAAGATAGCTTAGCCGGAATGTTCCTACCAGGTCTTCCGAAGCTGCCTCCGAACCTTGAAAAGCACTACACGTCACTCTCAGTCGCAATAGCCGAAGTTTATCTAAGTCAACTCAGTAAGCACTTCTTCGATAAACATATATCGGGGAAGCTGTCGGCCCGAATACGTCCACGCCTGGGGAGCTTGCTGTTCCAAGGTTGTCAGCTACCGGCTGCACACCCCACCGTGGCGGGGCAACGGTTAGCGTCTTTCCATCTCAGCGCCCCACCGCCATCAATGAACGCGCGAGATCCGGCAAATGCGGAGTCGCGGAGTGTGGGTGAGCCGTTCTTACATCTTACTATCGCATCGGCTGTGATTGCACGATCTCGAGGTAAGCTCAAGACGCTGTGCTTAGAGATATTGAAGATGCGCATGAGTCCCGACGCCGGATCGCTTCCACTACGCGACAATATACCTCCAGAGACACGAACTGATGCCGCAGTTCCTGTAAAGCATCAATTGGGCGTCACATTTGATGGCTTAAGCAGTTCGCGATCTTGCCAACATTATACCTTTACTCGTACATCATATGCCTGGTAGGCCTTGTCGCCTACTTAGAGCCGCGTCGATAGTCTCTTGTGGGCGTTCTCTTCAACGCTTGTCGCAAGGACGCGTGTAGAAAAGCCTAAGACAAGAAGAGCATGAAAAAACGTATGTTTTACTATCTCTTCATCGCGTCGCGATGGGAATCTGGGAATCTGGAAATCTACATCGAGCCGCAAGTCGACTTCAACCCGTGGGTACGCGATGGGGGGCTGCATACCCCGCGCTAGCTCAGGGTAGGATGTGGGGTGACTTCCCGAATCATCCCACGAGTAGACTGAGAATTTCGCATCTTTCGTGTCTTTAACAACGATAACAGCTAATTCGTCGAAGGCTTTACGGACGACTGCTGTGTGATCATTGGATCTGTGAGCGAAGACGAACAAATACCTCATCATTACGTGTCGCGAGGCTCACGTAGAGGGAAAGGGTTCACCCGAAACTCTCTTTAATCTTCGGAACACGATCGGAAGACCAGCCTGAAGACAGCGTGACCTTCGGTGTCAGATAAATCACCTGGAGCTTGCTACCTCTGTAGTGGTGATCTAGAACAGTAGCTTCGCGGAAAAGGCTTCTCCCTTGGGCCCAGCATACCTTCGCGGACAACAACTTCAGGACAAAAAGGAGTACACGGACCTAAACACAGCGACACTCGATAATGGCTCGACGAAGCTCATTCGATCAAGCATCAGACGGCTTCCGGGCTCATCTTCCAGACCTCAGCAGTCCCCGCTTCACGACGGCCGCAAAGCAAAACATCTACGAATATGTCCAGTCAATGCAAGACAACCGCGCCCCACCATGGCTGTACGATCTGACTAAAGTCTGGGAGAAGTTATTGGAAGAGCCGTACAAAGGTATTACGAATGACGGCACTGTTAGGGAGGGTCTATATCAAGCACGAGACGAAGGTGTAGATGTTGATGGCCCGGTCAAGAAGGCGGAAGAACTCCTCGCAGCTCTCGACAGCGAGCAGAGGGCGAAGATTTCGTATCCCATCAATGCCAGAGAGTGGAGGGCATGGAGTAACCCAGAGTTCTTACTGCGGCCATTTGGGCTCAGACTCGAAGAAGGTAAGTCTCAAAATCACCAACGTTGCGACCTAGGCTAACTGCTAAAGTCCCTGAGAGTATCGCGCAGTCAATGCTCGCAGTGGTAGAGGCATCTCTTTCCCCAGAAGGCTACGAAAAGGCTATCGCGGCCATGCGGGTGAACCATTTCTTGGGCGAGGTTGTTAAGCTACCCAACATCTTGAACAAGTACTCTTACAACTTCCTGCTGTTTGGTACGCCATCGACCTCCGCTTCCTCGCCTTGGGGCTGGCTCCTCTATGGCCATCATCTCGACATCTCCTGTTTCTACAAGGGAAGCCAGGTTATCATGAGTCCATCGTTCACAGGTGCCGAGCCCAACATCATCGATGACGGAGAATGGAAGGGTACCAAGATATTACACAAAGAAGGCAGTCTGGGCTGGAAGCTGATGCAGAGTCTCAGCCAAGAGCAACAACAAAAGGCACAGATCTTCAAGAAGATGAGAGATGAAGGCATGAAGCAAGTCTACGGCAACTCCAACAATGACGAGACTAAGCGAGACGAGCTCATTACCGATACGTGGGGCCCAGATGACCAGCGCCATCGATGCGGTGCCTTCCGCGACAACCGCATCGTACCTTACGAGGGCGTTCTGGTCTCTTCTCTCGACTCATCACAGCAAGAACTCGTCCTCGCCATTTGTGAGGAGTTCCTGCTATATCATCCCGCGAAGGCGCGCCAACAAAAGCTCGATCAGATCAGACAATACTTAAGCGAGACCTACTTTTGCTGGATCGGAGGCTTCGGCGAAGACGACGCGTTCTACTTCCGTGTTCAGAGCCCGGTCATTCTAGTCGAGTTCGATCACCACTCCGGTGTATTTTTGACGAACAAGGAGCCAGCTAAGTATCACACGCATACGATTGTGAGAACACCAAATGCGGGAGATTATGGACAGGCTATTAGAGAAGGAAACGAAAAGTTAGAGTGAGCAGGCACTGGGTGCAATGTACATAAGGTGTGTCGCAAGGAGATACGTGGCACCCATGTCGTAGATCTCCGTTGTGAGGCGCATGTTGATGATGAGAGGCTACAATAACTACCATACCTATCCTCCACTTCCAGGCGCCGGCCTCGTATCACCAACGAGATTCGTATACTTAACATCCACCTCAAGAACTCCAAACCATACATGTCGGCCATCCCTTTGCTCGAACCTCACCTCGCCCTCCAAAGTAACGAATTCCGCTTCCTCACCTGCCGGAAGATAATTCTCGATTACCCGTACTAAGTCTTGTTTAGCAATCTCATGTCTACGTTCTTGCTGTTCATCAGCATCGCTTCCTGCGGCAACCGAATAGTGAATAGCAACTTCTTCTTGTGGCATAGTTGGAATCCCGGCTATCAATGCGAACATATTTCCGGCATCATCATGACGAGGAGTCTTAGCTCTTACGTACGTAAAGCCTGGTCGTTTCTGCGTTGATAGATGATCGTAAGTCTCCACGTCGCCTTTGTAGGTTGTCGGATAGAGAGAAAAGCCGACGTGGATGTTGGGTTTAGCTGGGATGTCTTTTGGCGTTACGTAGCGCACGATCACGTAGTACTTTTCGTCTACCTTGTAGGGGCCTTTGGGTGCCATGTTGAAGATATTGACAGCGGAATCCGTGAGGGGGGAGTTGACTTATAGGCTAAGTGTTTGTAGGAGCTGATTTGCCAGACCCATGTGATACTGTGTAGGTACCAAGCAGCCCGATAATCGTTTCGTTGGCATGAAAACACCTCGGGTGCACTCATAGACGTACAGAGATAGTCATGCCGCAGATAATTGACAATTAAATGACGTAGTCTACTAAGAAGTGATGATGTGACTACTGACTAGTTACCTCAAGTTCCTGCTACCTTACACTTGCACAACCTCATGCGGTGTGTACGTCTACAGTTCCGATATCGTATCTAAAGTACCGACGCTGGGGCCCCTCAGAGCCAGCTTGGATGATAGCCATAGTTTCGATCCACATAGGCCCATCATCTCCAGGTGCCAGCGTACGAACTGTGAAGTCCAATCTGATATTACCACGCAACATAAGCTGCTGTAATTCTGTTGCTAATAGAGCGCGCAGATCCTGCTCCGCCTCCTCACGCTGCTCCCTTGGTTGGCTGGCTATCCTGACTGTTGTCTCGTCGTCACGGAGTACTTTAGCTGTGATCATAGCCATGGAAGCATGTACACAATTGTTGAAAGGATTAGCCACACAATGCCAGTTGACTCTCTCATCGGCAAAGAACGCACGCTCCTGTAGATTCTGGAATCGCCAAGACTGGACGACAAAGCCTGGTACTATGTTTTCACTCATGTTGGCGGTGCGGATAACCATGTAGACTGGGGTGGACATCTTGGGTTATCTCGTGAAGAGGATGGAAAGCGGCGCGAACACATCCATGAGAATGGCCGGAAGTGATATACGAGTTGTGGGCTTGCTATATCCGGTCAGATGTCAGCCTTGGACGCTTTGCGTGGGCAGTGTGACCAGAACCGATAAGGCTACAAGCCAAATCGCCATGTCGTTTGGACATATGGCACTACCCGTCCGCCAGTTCCCCGGCTCATATACTTCAAGACTGTGAGTTGTCCGTCTTGGATCTGGTACTCTTGAACCTGTTGTTACTACATTACTTAGGCTTTCTGGGTTCCAAAATAGCCAAACAGAAGCAGCAGCTGCAATGGTCTAGTGGTTATGACATTCGCCTCACATCGAATGTGCGACGCGAAGGGTCCCGAGTTCAATCCTCGGTTGCAGTATTGTTTTTGCCATTCGCACGTGGACTGGGCTGGGTCGTTGTTGGAGTTGTGACGGATCCAGTGCAGATGGCGGCCATTTGATAAGTGTTTGCTTGGCATCTTACATGTGAGTTCGGAAAGCTAAGGGTCTACTTTTTGGCCAATGCAAACCCTGCGGCATGGCATCCCTTTGTAAGTGAATTAGCTTCGTGTATTGCGATGCCAACACAAGCATGCGCACAGTGCTTGCATCGCGAAGTCAAATCACCAGCCTGAAATTGTTAGATCCGGAGTGGGGCGTGTGCTCATTGTCGACAGTCGAGACGTTGGAGAGTCATGGTCGGCTGCGATGCGGTCATGGTCTAGATCGCGATAATTTTCCTTCAATAAATCATTGTGGGCATTAATGACGATGCAGACGCTGTTGAAGCTGGTGGTGTTGACGCTGTGGTCACTCCACAGGACGAACAGGTTGCGAAGCTGCACGCTGACATCAGCGTCGCGGGAACCTCGGCCAGCCACGCGATGCGCGTGCTCACCCCACAATCGAAAGACTGCCATCTAACCACGATCAGCACACCACTAACCCCACATGGCCCAGTCCCATCGTCTCAGCGTCCGATTGGATCTCGGTGGCAGCCGTTTCACCAGCCGAACCCTTTCCAGGCGGCACGCCAGGAGAAGCCGCGATACATGCGCGGCCGGGAAACCCTTTGAAGGGCAGCACCCAACGACCTGGTACGTCAGCGGCCTTTCGGTCTGGGGACGCGACGCGAGAATGCGTCGGACTAAGCTCATCAGTCCATTTGCGTCACGGAGCCCGGTGATGTCAAGTGCTGTGATTCGTCGTATGATGTACGGGTGTGGTGGAGAGACATGAGTGCACAGCCTACTTGTGACCTGCATTTCCCCGCACGAGGCTGTCGTATATACAGTCCGCATACGCCGCGCTTGGGACGTCTCACCGGAACACATTACACGTAGCAAGCCATCAATCAAACACCACACTACCGAAGTCAAACCGCGGCCGATACTTTCACACGTCTTGGCCATCACACCTACCAACGTCAAACACAACCACACCTGAGCACACCAAGCGACAAGATATAAGTCGAGCCAAAACTACCATCTCGAGGAACCATCACCATACTCGGCACTACTTTCGCCACTACCACACAACCATCAACATGTCTTTCCTCCTCCGCACATCTACCCTGGTACGCCAGAGGCTCTTCACCACCTCAACACGTGCTCGCAGTGCCATCTCTATGGAAGATGCCGCAGCAGCACAGATGACCTCCACCCCAGGTGCGAGCGTTGTCCCAAGGCTCGGAAGGGTAGCACGATGGTACGTTTCTTCCTCTATGAGATTCCTATCACCACACCACTAACAATGACTAGGTATCTCCCGACCATGGCGGCGGTAGCCATTGGTATGATCTACCTTCCCAAGACCGCATCACAGCCTCGCCGACCCCTTACGCTCGGTGATGCTAATGCCAACATAGGCTTTGGCGTGACCAATGCACTCAACGAGGCCAACCGCAAAGTACACTCTGCGCTTGAGCTCACTCAAGAACAAAAGAACCAGATGCTCATGGACTCCTACGGCGAGCGCTCAAGCTTGGAGGACATGGAAAGGGCGATCGCTGGACTCGAGGCCAAGATGACCACCCAGAAGGACAGGAACAGGATCTTGGAAGAGGCATATGGCGACAAGGCCAGTCTTGAGGATCTCCAGAGGGCCATGGAGCTGTACGAGGTGCAGTGAACGAAGCAAGAGAGGGTGGAGAACCCGAAGAGCAGAACCCCAGCTTCGCGCTTTAGAGCGCACACACTACAAAGAAGAGAAGGATGAAGCCGCGCGCTGAACGCCGCGAGAGTTACACCGCCAGGCCACGAGCAGACATCGTCATCAACTCAGGGTGTCTGGCTCGTGTACCTCGAGAAGTGACGGAGGAACATGCATTTCATATTTGTCAGAGCATTTAGCGTTTTAGCAATCCGTAACAGACCCCAACAGTGGGCTACGATTTCGTACTATACCAACATCAACAATACCAATTTACTATGTTCAACACACAACATTCTCGTTCCTCGCTTTCCAGCCGATGCTAGCCTTGTTCGCTGCTCGGTGCATCTCGTCGCTCGAAAATGTCCGACGCCCGACACGTGATCCGACCCGAGTTCTCCCGGCGGCCGCGCTCCATCACAACACCATCTCCGCGCTTGGGTACTCCACATTCCGAAGTCGAGATGCGACTGCCGTTGTGGAATAGGACCGAACTGCGCTGTGATATATGTCGCGACAACTGCTGACTTCGTCCAAGCTAGGCTCACTTTGTAGATAAGAGTTCTCAGAGGTTTATAAGAGAGTCAATATACGCACTAACTAGGCCTGTCTACTCGCGCTTAATCCTTATCCGTAATTACAAAGCTCCAGATCTCGCGCCACACTCCACGTGCCAACCGCGCTGGTCTTCTCTCCAAAATCTGCTCTATCCGCGCTCTTTCGTTGTTCCTCGAAGCCTCCGCTTCCATCTCCTCCTGCATCGTGGGATCCATGCTCACACTGAGATGCACCTGCTCCTGCTTGAACGGGTCTTCAAAGGTGCTCAGAGGACTCACAATGCCATCGTGCTGGGCGTCCATCTCGTACGAACCGAACCGATGCCGCGGAACTGGCGGTACTGAGACTGGGCCTTCGAGCTCGATGCTGGATAGGTCTTCCAGGACGTAGTCTTCCACCGTAAGGTTGCGGAGGTCAACTTTGGATGTTCGGGGAAATATGTACTTGTACGAGAGGTACAAAGATCCGAACAAGAAGGGGCCGATATATGCACCAAGAACGTCGAAAGCCAAGCTGATGGTAGATTTCAGGTTGTCCGTGGAAGTGAGGCTGCCTTTCGCAACAAGAATGACCAGTGGGGGAACACCAGACCATACAAGGACAAAGGCGCTTCCGAAGATCCCGATATATGCAGGTAGTGGTTGCCATCGGGACTTGAACAGGCGTGACATGTAGAGTGGGTGATTGCGACCGAAGATCTGCCGCCTCGCTAAGCGGTCAAGGCCAGCTTTGAAGCGCAGAAAGGTGATGCAAAGAGTGAGATAGATGCATGCCGCAGTACCTGTGTACAATTCGGAGAGTGTGATGCGCGGCTGTGAGCCAGTCTTGTCTGCCAAGCCTATCAGAGACAAGAACCCGAGTGCTGAGCACAGCAAAATGGCCGCCAAAGGTGTATGCCCATTGTTAGTCCGACCAAAGATCTTTGCGATATTCCTTGGGAGGTACTGCTGTGAAAGCATAAACACACTACGAGATGCGGCGTAGAGATCGGTATTGGCTGTAGTGTATGCCGATATAATGAACAACCCGTTCAAAACCTTCGGTAGCGCGTGGATAGAAGACTCTTCGGCCGCGATTACGAACGCTGACTTCGTAGCGTAGTCGCCCCTCGCCCATATCTTCGGAAGCTGCGGGTCGGCGTAGTTGACATTTGCTCCAGCGGCTAGCATCGCAAATGGGTATATGCTGAGCGGAACGATGTAGACGAACGACATGGTGATGGGCACGTCCCTCCAAGGATTCTTTGCTTCACCGACAGTCATAGCGACCAGGTCTGCTCCGAAGCAAGAAAACATGGCTAAAACTATTGAAGTGCTTCACAAGATGTTAGCTATCTGGGGTATCTGGAGGTATGCTAGGAACCCACATGAGAGCGAACAGTGTGCCTCCGGGGCCAGATATGCCAAAAGCTTCGTCGGGAACGCCCGTCATCTTGAGAGGGACAGGAGTGGTATTATCGTGGCCAATAGGCTTCCAGTCCGATGGAAATCCGAAGGTTGTATAATCTAGAGTGGTCAGCTTTGTCACACGTAGCCTGAAGATGTTCAACTTACTTGAATGGTATTCTCCCTGTCTCGGGCCGCCGCCTTGGTAGCGTTAGACACATGGCTATGTTGCATTGAAGCGCGGAAGCATACCGGAGAAGTTCAAGACCACACCCATAACACATACAAGGACTAGTAAGCTCAGTTTGAACCACATGACGACCTACGTGCTCGTTAGTTCGCTGTTCGCATCGAGAGCCGTCATCAGGGTGGCCGGAATCCGTGTCGCATGTTGCCGCATACACATTGCTAGCTCTCAGCAAGTAAACACCCTCTAAGCTAATGTATACTTCTAGCTTAGTGATAATGTTGTAGAATGCGACACGGATTGGAGCCACCCCTAGTGCTGTTTTACTCAAGGTGACGTACTCGTTCGATCTTGCCATACAGCTGATATAACATTAGCGAAGTATGCCATTGTCCAATGACATAGCTTACCTTGACGCCGAGGCAATGGGAAAGGGTAGTCAGGGCGATGAAGGCGATATTGATAGCTGCCTCAGCACCAGCAGAATGCGGTTTTGGGTCGCTCTTCAGAAGCGCAGTCAGCTCCGCCGAACTCGCTGTAAGAGTAGCCATCGCACAAATCTTGCCTAGCCTAATGGTCGTCAGCGACGCCTTTCAGAAGTTTCCCATCGATACTCACCCGTACATAGATGCGATAGCGAAACCGCAGGCTGGGTCTAAGAACGTGTGAGGCAGATCAATGAGAGCTCCGGTCAACGGTCGACATGCAACCATCTCAGTGATAGTGTACATAACGCATGCAACAATACCACCTGCGACTACATAGCTAATAGCAGCCCCTAAAGATCCAGTGGTAGCGATCAGTGCACCGGACGTAATGAAGATTCCTCCACCTATGCAGCCGGATATGCCGATGCCTGAGGAGTTAGCAACCAGCGCCTTAATTGATTCACTTCTTTGGCACTTACCTGCCAGTTGAGGCCTACTGAGAACACGGTCAAGATGTTCTGAATGGGTCACGTAGTATGGCGATCTGTCAAGGGGACGCTTTTCTTCAGCCATTTTGCGTGTGATTCCCAGACGAATCTGTACCGAAGTACGACCTCGTCAGGCTGAGGATGTTTGCGAACTAATTATGAAGGTTGACTGCGACCTTGAACTAGAAAAAGATGCTTGCGCAACGAATGCAAACCCTCGTGACTATTTGGCCTCCATTCGGCACGTCTTCAGCTTCACTCTCCAAACCACCTGTGGCGGGGCTTAGACCATACCGGTCGGCCTCTCTGTCTGCCTTACGTGTTGCCCACAAACGCCAGAGTGACTGGAAAGATAGGCTTCGTGATGAGGACGGTACATGGGCACGCGACTTGGTATTGCTGTGATTGGTCAGAAAGGCGGGATATCGGGGAAAGATAACCAAGGTTGCACATGCTCGTATGCACGAGGTTGCTAGGCCAAACTAAGTGCGCCACGGTCGACAAACATTGGTGGATGGTGCAGAACGTCCTCTCAGCCGCGCCTTAGTCGCGTTCCGGTGTACATTTCAGGCTACGTGTTGCAGCTAGGCGACAACTATGGTAATTGATAGGGCCGAACTACATTGTGGAGACAGCGTCCCCCATAGTGATTATTGCTTTCCTCTGGGCGGGCGTTCTGTGTGGACTTCCTGTGCAATACAAACAGGATATTGCCAATGCAGCTGATAACGGGTACGCCGCATGCGGACGAAATCGCGAGCTGAAAGTATGTCAGATAGTGTCACGTCCTTGACCTACATACATTCAAGGCTCTCCAGGGATGAAGCTTTGGTTAACTCCCAGCTAACGGTTTCCCAGTGATGATTGCAGTTAGAGTGCATTGACGATGTCCATATCCAGCAGCTCTACCGGCCCTTCGGCGCGTCGCTCGTCGTTAGCGATGGACTACTTCCAGGTGTATTCAGCTTCATCAGGATCGCAGTCGAGTAATCTGCTACAACGACCAAGGCGGCTGTCGTTTCTGAATGCGCCCGATGTCGCGACGTCGATCTCATCGTTAGGATGGGTGGCAACATGCTCATCGAAGCAAATACGGTTATACGACGTGAAGAGCGCGAACAGAAGTCGGACTATCCAGCCCAAGGCCGTCTTGAATATTTCGATGATTCTGAAAGATGAGGAGATCCGTGGAATTGCTCTCTCGGATGATCTGCTCGCAGTGATCACCCACAATCGATTGCTGGTGTATGACGAGTATCGCACAAACAACGGCCATGTGCCTAGCCTCGTGAGAGAAGAGCGGATTGACCAGGACGGAAACTGGACCCCGAGATCCGTGTCGATCTCACAACTTGGGCGCCAGTCTGCCGAGGGAGGGGCAACGGCGAGCATCGCAGTGGGCGGAGAAGGAGTGAGTGCAGTGAAGATCTCCACATACAGGTACATGCCAGCCTGGAACGTTCAGGGCGACCATGTAGTCCTGAAGTGTCCTCAAAACAATGGTGCTGTCAAGATTGTTGGGTTTTCGCCGGGTCGAAGTGATGCCATGTATGGGCCAATGGTGTTCGCTTTGACAACAGGGAATCGCTTGTATTGCTGGAACGTCGCTCGGAACGTAGGCTACAAGCAGAATATACGCCCGGATCCTTGCTGGCATGTTGACTGTAATGCGAGAAGCAATGAACTAGTAAGTGACATGTTCTAAGACCCGGCGCAAAGCTGACTCCAGGCAGGCGTATCGTGATGAGATAACGAACGCGGCTTTTACCATCTCTCCAAACGGTCGACCTTACATCCTCTGCACCGTCGACCACCAACCACGTTCACACCTCCCAGCGACCTTCCTCGTAGCAATCGACACTCTCGGCTTCGATCCACACGTTCTCCGTCAACCAATAAGGCCCATTTCTGATAGGGTAGTGAGTACGAGCGTTGTCGCTGGAGTTGCGAGCTTCAACGGCAGGTTCCTAGTGGTTGTAGAAAGGGAGAGAAATAGATACAAGATGAAGCTTCTGACACTTCAGGGTGCACTTGGGGGTGGCTTGACATGTTCTGCTGCACACACAACAACGTGGGAAGTCGAACTGCAGACCAACAATACCGGATCTTCGACGATCTCAATCATGATAGAAGAGCAGCAGGATGCCCTGGAAATCATCGCGGTGGATGGACGTGGCCATGTCATCTATTCGGGCGTGAGGGTGCTGGGCATGCCACAGGGCCCAATTCGGCCCATGGCGCCACCCAGAAGCTCCATCGTTTCCGAGCTCCCGTTCGACCCGATCAGAAGAGAATTGTCGTCGGACGAAAGTAGCCGCCACTCTGTCACGCCTTCTTATCGGGGGATGAACAGCCTCGAGATTGTTCCTGGCTGACTGAAGGCGATGACTCAAGCCAATACCATAGCCTTTCCGGAAAGTGGTAGATGCAGGCGCGATGGACTGTTCTTGGTACGGGTATGGTGTGAACGTGAGCGGGTAATAGAAGTTGCACGCTGGTCGCGTCAGTATCGCGTCGCGGACTAGTGCCAGCTGACTAAGCCAACATCCGTCATCTCCAGGCTCCATCTCTCACGATCGGCCATCACAACCCAACTCGCCCTGTCCATCCGCTCGCACACACACAACGCCAACAATGTCGCGTTGGCGGAGGAGTTTCCATATCTTCGAGCTCTTATGCTCGCCAGCCAAACGCCAAGATGGTGTCGCTTATAACATCTCATAACCGTCATCAGCACGCGGCTTGAACGCGATGGACCTTCACCAACACTCCAAAGCTGCTTCTCGGATTGGCAATTGTCGAGGATTGCGCCTTGGGTACGGCAAGCGTGCTTCGAGACGCATCTTGGCGGAGTAGCAGCGAGTTACCAAGGATTCTTCGCGCTTACCAGTTCGTTCCCTCAACCTACGCAGCGTATCTCGCTTTCCACATGGAGGGCTACTCATGCCAGTCATGCGAGGTGGAGGAAAGCTCGATAGGTGGACAATACAACGTGTCTGGCATATATAGCTACTCACCCTCAACACTCAAGACACTTCTTCTATCACCCATCTCTTCCTACTGGTCGCGTACTACCTAAGATCCTAGTCATACTCTGACATTCCTGTTCAGTGCTCCAACAAGCCTACACTTCAGCTACCAAGACAGCCCTCTCGAGACGATTCACGGCACGCTCCCATCCAAAGATGATGTTCCGCGCCGCTCCTCTATGCTTCGCTGCACTCTTCTCGCAACACGCTTCTGGCGTACCATACCCACAGCCAAACTCGACATTGCTCGCCAACAACACAATTTGTAACTCCACCGCCCGCTTTTGCGAAGGCGATCCCAACGCCGTCAACCCTCCTCCCCTAGGTTCGGGAGAATACGTATGCCACGAAGTTTACCCAACCGATCTCACCGTCATCAACGCGCGCTACCCCGATTACGACGTCGACCACCTACACCAAGCCAAGCAGTTCTTCATGCTACGTCGCCAAGTGAAAGATGCTGGAGAGATTGCCACACGTGTACAGTTTCAAGGCCTACCGAACAGCACGTCGAACTACACCTGCCGTCTCGAATTCGTCCTCCCCCGCCTTGAGCTCCAGAAGATCTCTGGCCCGAACCCAAGCTTTCACGTATACCAAGTCGAGCGCGAAGCCGGTGCGATCGCTACATGGAATACATACGAGGCGGAGAAGAACGCCTTGTTGTTCGGTACGGTCAACGGCGAAAGCCAGGCGCTTGAGAGGACTAGGAGTGTCGGCGGCGTTGCAGCTGTCGACGAGACGGCTTGTAACGAGACAATGTCGTTCATGATGGCAATGATGTACGACAGCCCATCTGCGCCGAACTACTGGGAGTTCTCGAACGTGGCGCCTCCCGCGTTCCCGGTACAGGGGTTTAGGATTGTTTACGGATGTTGAGCGAGGAGTTAGTGCCTATGGTATAGTCCCGCGATGGCACTGAATGCTGTGTGAAGTAGCTATTCTGCCACTAGTATTATGACATGAGATCTTTGTCCTTACAACTTTTGCTTCACCTAACATGTGATCAGTAATTATACCTACGTCCCCCCTAGCACGTAAAGTAGTTCTCGCATATCTTGCATGTTACGGTTTTCTGCAGTGACGCGGCGAATCATTTCTATAATTACCATGGTCATAACGCGGCAACCCCTCAAATTCGTGCACATTACACGGTGGGTTGTGTATGCAAGCGGCTCTCTTGTGATGCGATTTGTCTGTAACATCAGGATTACCAGCTTTGCATTTACAGCAGCAGCTAAAGCTACCAAAAGCAGTACATAGCTGTCTTCGTCGCATACATAGATCTGCAGCCATCATTTAGATAGTACTCATAACCTGATGCACGAAAGTTCATCAGGCAGCCGAGACAGCTATGGTAAATAGAAGGAGCAATTGATTGCATAGGCATAAGCACTGTAGCACAACAAGTGTGTCTACCCTGACCTACCTCCGCGAGTCCTTGACCCTTCTTCTGGCCGGATGCGTGGTTGCAGTGGTCATGGTGGCTAGAGACAAGTATAAGTGGGGCGTGTTGTGAGGAAGGCACGACTGAAGTCTCACTTCTTCCCTGGAACTCTTCACTCACTCAACACTCCACCTCCAACCACTACAATGCCGCCGAAAAAGCGCAAAGACGAAGAGGCGCCTAGCGACTATGTGCCGCGTGAAAAGATGATGAGGACCGCGCCCACTTCAAGTTTCTGGGACGCCGATTTCCCATCCGATGGCGGAACGCCTTTCACAGCCAGCGGGCATGTGAGCCGTAGATGGATGACCGTCATGATAGAAGGAAGGACTCGCCACGCCCCAGTGCCAACAGAGACAATTCGGAGTGCAGTGCAAGCTCCTGGACAGGGTGGTAACAATCTCCAACGCCGAATTGCTGCCATGGGCCCACCAATCAGGTCAAATCAAGACCGCGCGGTGACGCCACCGAGTGGACAAGAACGTGCCAATGGGCCATACGCGCAGACTCCCGAAACCCCTTATCCGGTGGAACGAAGGCCCAACTATCAGGTCAATTCAAACAGAGCTGGAAGAGGCCGAGGGGGACCCACTATGGGTATGGACAGGCAAGCATTTCAGTTGCGACAAGGGAGACATCCATCTTCGGATATGCTCATGCCGCCGCCGCCGTCCAGTATGCAGCGCTCGAGTGTTTCACGTCGATCTAAAGACGCACGACACGTCGGTACGGCTGAAGAGCAAGACGGGAGTGCGCATCGAAATGACGATGAAGTGCCCGCTGAACTCGAGGAGGAAGAGGAAGAGGAAAACGGGAGTGCGCATCGAAATCACGATGTAGTGCCCGTTGAACTCAGTGGTGAAGAATCCCAGTTACCTGGCGTTCTTTCATCAAGTAGGGTTGGGCGGCCGTCTTCTCAGGAAGAGAACCTGCCACCACAGCCAACCTCACCGTTGCCTGTGGTAGTTCAGGGGGTTGATGAAGCTAGGCCACAAGAATCTCTTGTCGTCGGCTTGGATTCAGAAATTGCGGAGGTATTGGAGAAGCGCCTGGCCCAGGTGTTGAGTCAAGTGAAGAACTTGCGCGCCGAGGCGTCTGCGGATCTCCGCGTGATGTTTCGGAAGGGAGTGCAGTTGGCGAATACCGATCTATCAGGGATCGACCCTGCTATTTTGGGAGAGGTGTGGGAAGACCTCGAGGCAGAGGACGCTGTAGGCATGGTGGAGACGGACGATCCAGATATCGCCGCGCTCTTTGACGAAGAGGAAGAGCCGAAAGAGTGACATCTGTTCGCAGGAGAGAGGAATGGCTGGCTCAGTACCATGAAAGTACTTGAAGTATCCTTTGTCCGCACATTCTACCTTTTTGAACTGATGCATACGACTAGCATTTTGTGATAAAATTGGATGACAAAATACTGTCCTTATTTGCCACGTACCATTATTCAGCTTGAGTGTTCGTTGTACTGTTCGTGTATTAGCTGAGAACCATGTGTGAGCTCTTGCCTGTGCAACATTCACTTCTCGTGAAACCATGGGGGTGGCGCATGGATGGCATATTGGATACCACTGTTTTCTCTGTTAGTCATGATATCTTAGCTTTTGGTTTACAGCGCGAATATTAGACCATACTATTTTCATGGCAAGCACTTGTTTCATGTTACGCAGTGCAAAGAAGTTATTCATGCGCGGCAAGCGCTATCAATTCTCTACCTACCCTTCCGCCACCCCAGCGCCGCACGTCAAATGCGCGATCAGACCAACCACCAGAAAACCCTCCCACCCCAATGCAAACCATGCATGCATTCCTCGACAAACAGAACAAGGAAAAGTGGGTCATAGTACATGAGTAGGGTAATGAGGAGAACGCGTAAAGAATGCCATAACCTCCAAGAGAAAAAAACGCGTGCCAACGCGACGCTCAGATGAACCTCCCTGTCTGCGCCAAACACCGTGCGCGATGCCAGCCAAACGGACCAACTTCCCCACATAAAGATGGGTATTTACACATTATGCCAACGCTCAACGACGCGCCTGTGTCTGCGAGAACCAATCGTCTTGTGTGGAGTGGTACTGCCGCCGTAATTCGGCCTCTTCCTCTTCTTGGCTTGACTTGAGGATTTCTTGCATCGTCTCGATGTCTTTGATGATGACGTTGAACGCCTCGGTGACCTCCTTAAGGACGAGGTTGCGATTGTAGTCTGAGCGGTGCTTCCAGATGGCATCCATGAGCGCGGCGTTGATCTGCTCCAACTGCTCGAGCGAACATCCAGATGTCGAGCGGACCAGTTTGTCATGCAGCGCAATGACCATACTGTCGTCGAGGATGAGCTGCGGCTTCGGCTCCTCGTCATTGAGAATCTGGTTAAGATTCGAGTGGTGCGGAGGTGCAGGCGCAGGCATGGAAGTAACATGCTGAGACGATTGAGAAGGTTGCGATGGCTGCGAGTTCGATGGCTGGCTGCTGACGTAGTGGACTTCTGTATTTGAAATGTGGTCAGTGTTGTGCTCTGGGGAGAAGCGAGTGGAGACCTGGAGTCGCTGGTGGAAGGGGGTTGGCGAACCTTGTGTGTCGGGAAGCTGCGACCCGTTGGGCTCCGGCATCATCTCTGAAAAGTTGGGGACGCCAGATGGTGCAGCACCGTTGCTACTCTGAGTGCCAAATTTGTTGTCTGAAGACCTGTTCGACGTCTTCTGACCAGAAGTCGTTGTGGAGGCACTATTGTGGTAGTCGTTGGGATGCGAGTTCGGTGCCATGAAGGTCCGCCCGGACATCTGTGACTTCTGCGTTTGGGTTCCCTGGCCCTCAATTCTACTCGGTGTCTGGAATTGGAAGTCGTGTTGTGTGTTGGCATTCAGATCCTGGCTGTCAGTCATATGAGTGTCGTCGTTGGAAGGCGCAGTAGAGCCATTCGTTGCATGCTGTGTGCCTTCGCCACTCGTGCCATTGGATAGACCTTCAGTGTGAGGAGCTCGCAGCGGGGTTACCGGTGGCATGGCCAAACGACCAGGCACAGGCTCACCCAGGGTGATAGGCCCTGATGTTTCGGTGGTACCGATGGACTGTTCTGGAGGTACACGTGCAACATCCTCGAAATCCTTGTTTGCGGCGATGGCTCTTTCCCGCTTCTCTTGCGCCTTCCTCTCCCTCTCAAGTTCGCGCTGGTAGACCGCTTCACACTCCTGGAGAAGCCCAGGATTTTGGTGCATGAAGAAGTTGTCCAGATCGACTTCAACGTTTGTGATCATCTCATTGCCCTTCAGGGTTCGCTCGGCATCTCCGAAAGTCCTCGCGTCCTTTACAAGAGTCTTGATATCGAAGAGGTAATCTGCAGGGCGCTTGTAGTAACCATTGGACAGGCGCTTCTCGATCGTACCGAGGTCCAGATTGTAGTATTTGTTGCCGCTGTCGACGTGTAGCAAAACGTCAACGCCTTTGGAATCCTTGGAGAATTCCCACGGACGAACAACGCCTTGCTCTTCTTGTTGCTCACGTGGCAGGTCTGATCGCACATGATCAGAATCTTGCTCCTCGAGCAGATAGGCATACCAGGATTCTTCCAGAATTGGCTTAAAGAATTTCCTGTGACTCCTCTTCAGTTGGTCCATGATGGGTTGAATGACAATCTTCATCTTGTTGAGGGTGAGCCTATCCTGTTTCTTCTGCGCCTTCTCGCGGGCGGCAAGTTCCTTAGGGTCAACCACTGGAGCAACGATAGGTGCAGCCTCAAGTTCAGGTAAGATTCGCTTCTTCCTATTATCCGGATCAGGAAAGTCTGCTGGAGACATGCGGATGTAGTGACTGATGCTGTTGAAGAACTCTGCTCGCCCTTCTTGGTCTGGCCGCATAAGATGGAACTGATTGGATTGTGAGAAGGAGAAAAGATCCATCATCATCTGGCGATCAGGCTTCTCCTTCTCATTGAGCAACTCCATTACACCCAGCAGCATGATCGGTTCGTTCGCGCCAACACTTCGCAGTAGTAGCTTGAAGGTCTTGATAGCTTGGGCAGGCAGTGTCTGATACCAGACATCAACTGAAGGGATGTAGATGACACTAGGCTTGTGCCGCCTGACCTCTGTAAACAGCTGGGTAATGGCTGCCTCAGGTGCTCGCGTGGAGTCCTCAAGGATAGTGGGAAGGTCGAAGGACTGAACATGCAGACCTTCAATTTTGTTCAAGAGAGCAGCACCAAGATATTGCTGGCCCATACCTTGAAGACCGCTAATGAGCAAACGGGGTCTGAAGATTCTACTACTCTCGAAGTTGCGCATGGTGGCTTCGCGCTCGAAGCCCTTTTCGTCGTCGCGGTCATCGTACGCTGCTTCCTCGAGTGCGCTGAGTTTCTTCCTTCGTGGGATGAGTTCATCTATGCGCTTGAGGATCGCGGCTAGTGGCTTCCGTAATAATGGCTCGATGTTCTTTGCCAGTGGTGCTGCACTAGCCGTGACTGTTCGTTGAGAAGATGGCACCATCTTGTTGACCGAGATCATGAAATCCTTCGCTAGGATCTTGATGGTGCTGGGATCAATCAGAAGCTTCTTTTCAGAAGTGTAAATCTGAGGGTAAGTCCCCTGTACGGCATTGAGAGCCGCTTCTGTGCAAAGCGCCCGAAGGTCGGCACCTCCATAACCCTTGGTTAGTTCGGCAAGTTGATCCTTCATTTCCGGCTTCAGAGGTGGCTCCCAGTTCTTAGTGTGGATGTTAATAATGGAACGTCGGCCCGCAACGTCTGGCAACGGGAAGTAGAACTCGCGGTCGAATCGTCCAGGACGTCGCAGTGCGGGATCTACGGAATCAGGACGATTGGTAGCGCCTATCACGATGACTTGTCCGCGACCATCCATACCATCCATAAGAGCGAGTAGAGTAGCGACAATCGAGGCGTGGATTTGCTCTTGCTTACTAGAGCGAACAGGCGCAAGTCCATCGATTTCATCGAAGAAGATGATACTTGGCTGGGTTTTCCGCGCCTCCTCGAACAGCAGGCGAAGCTGCCTTTCAGCTTCTCCTACCCATTTACTCAGGGCATCAGCACCCTTGCGCATGTAGAAGGTGACCTTCTGTCCATGAGTGCTGACGCTCGAAGCGAGAGCTCTGGCAAGAAGCGTCTTACCAGTACCGGGCGGACCGTGGAACAAAACACCTCGTGGCGGTGTGATCTTGAAGCGTTGGAACACCTCAGGATATAGCAAAGGAAGCATGACCATCTCCTTGAGCTTGTTGATGTGGTCGTCCAGTCCACCGACACCATCAAAGTTGACGTTCGGGTCGACTCCAAGAGGGTCTGAATCTGCGAGAGCCTTCTTGTCTTTGACCTTGCCCAGATTGGCAGGGCCGCCGCCAGAGTCTTGCTTAGGGTCTGCATTGTGAGTTTGAGGAAATCCGAAAGTAGGCGCCGTCGCGGTGGTTGGCGTCATGCCAATTGCGCCGCCGACAGGCTTGGGCATCTTCTGGTTCTCATCGTCGCTACTATCGGAATCACCACCTGCAGCTCCCATGCCAGCCTCGACGCCACCACCGAAGGGGCCCTGACTTCGCCACAGGCTTTTGTATGTAGACCGTCCACCTCTTGCCCTAGGTCGTTCCGGAGCAGGGCCATCATCGTCATCGTTCTCGAAGACAGCGTTCTGCTCGGGTCGAACAACACGGTAATCCACGCCTGCGGCGCGAGCGCGGCGTTTGGGCGCTTCCTCGTACGCCACGTCCTTGTCAGGATTACGTCGGGAGAGGCGCCGTCGTTTGTTGTACTCCAAGTCTTGTAGCTCATCCTGCAGTTCGTCTTGGTCCAGTCCTGACTCTTCGGAAGAAGAGTTGCGCCTGCTACGCTGTGACTGCCGGGTCTTCCCTCGTTGGCGGGTCGATCGCCGCCCAGAGCCTGACGCACTTTCGGATGCAGACTGCTTCTCCTTTTCGTGTTCCGACTCGGACATTTCCTCTTCCTTCTCGTCGTCTGCTGCAGGTTCAAAGTCACTGCTTTCATCGGCGCCTCGCTTACGTTTGGCTGAAACAGCACGGTTCTGGAAAGAGACGTTAGTTGCGGAAAACACACATAGCCAGTCAAACATACCCTGGTGTTGCGACCGCCACGGGTGACGGGCCCTTCCTCTTCGGAGTCCTCAGCAGCGGCTTCGTCGTGCTGGGACTCTTGGATGACACCTTCCATATCATCATCGTCCTCGCCCTCGGCATCGTCCTGTTGGGCTTCTTGCGCAGGTGAACTGTCCTTGCTGGCTTTGACTTGGGTCTCTTCGTCGACAAGAAGCGCGTCGAGGGGACCAGG